TAAAAAAATGTAATCTACCCTAGTAGTTGCTTACATTTGTACTTTCCCCCCTTCATATTTACAAGGAAATCCAGAAGACCTAAGGTCTAGTCCTAAAAGCTATTCCAAGTGTAAGCAGGAGTCCACAAACATCTTTGGTTATCGGTGTATAAACAATATTATAGAGAAAATAAAGGGGCAAAGTGATCAGGCACCATCTTCCAGATGTTGAGCATAAACCATTTGTTTATGGTTTAACACCTTAAAGTAAGACAGTGCCTAGGACCCCTTGCACCATAACAACTTAATTGTGATGATGGTGTCTGGAGTGGTCCTTTAAGTTGCACATTATATTTTTAAAGATTGTTTGTTTGGACTAAGTCACTAGCACATAACTTTTTTGAGAGTTGAAATGTGATGTCATTTGTTAAATCGCTAAAATAAATACGTAAGAAAAAGGAGCATCTTTGGAAAAAAGGTTAACTTAAATTATAGGTGGCTTTCAATGTTTTATTCAATGGGGTACATTTTCAGAGAAGAAATAGTTCTCCTTTAAGGTGAGAACAAAATTCATTACTCTTTCCCTATAGAATGTAATTGTGAAAGAAATGCATGGATAAGCTATTGTGAAATGCATATGGTGCTTAAGAACGTGTAGTATTTCTGCACCTGCCTTCCAGTCTACAACTTTATCCTATTCCTACTACAACTGTGCTGCAAATGCATTAATTTCTCCACTCATATACATGGACAATGTAGCGGAGTAGCAGTAATAACATCAATATCTCCGCTTGTAGACGTAAATAATATTCAAGAAAAGCATAGCTTGGCAATCCCCTCTAAATTCTCCAACAACTGGACGATACACAGCTTTGGGAGTCAACTGTTTTTTATTGAGCCACAGCTGGCTTTTATACAATTCCCCATGCAAGGGGTTTCCTTAATTACATTTCAGGGGTTTTCCCCTGGTGGATCTTGGTGGGGACAGGGAACAAAGACACATTTCCCAGACTCCTTTTCTGTGCTTGTAAGATAATTGTGTAACGACAATTCTTTAATTAGATTATCTCCCAAGTATAGAAAATCAAACAATAATTTAAACCATCATAACTCCTATAACATTAGTCAGAACTCCACTAAAGACTCAATCTGTCAAAATACCGCTCAGATCCGTTCTGTAGAACTGGAACGCCATTCGAGTGAACTTTAGACCGGTCAACCACGAGGTGAAGCCCCAAAACCTTTCCATGTAGTTGTATGCTTTGACCGGTCGTCTTTTGGGAGTTTTCACTATTAAACTTATGAATGCAAATGTTCATCAATTGGGTAGTCGTGTGCCTGGTGTTCATTCATTCCATTCAGTCGAATGCCGCTCTTTCTAGACAAAAGGAAATGAACGTACGAATAGGATGGAAGTTCAGCGGTGTTTGCATGGTCGAGTGTCCGATTATAGTTCCATGCACTCGACGACCAAACACTGCTGTAAGTTCGTGAGCAAAGATGGCCGCCGCCACGTGTTCACCCATCTGACCATTTAGAACTTTGCGATTTCTGGTGTGAAGATAGTCAATTGGAGGTACACGACTCCCTTGGGTGGTCTCCCTGTTCGGTGGTTGGTTCGACTAACGAACACTATATCTATATTCTGTTCGGGAACCTCAAATCGTCAAACCAACTCAGTCTTTCATACAAATAAGTGGCTAGTTTTGCCACAGACACACATGTGCATTTATATACTTTTCTTTACTTAGCAAACTAAAACCGCATATATTTGTAGCACAACCATGACCTTCCATTTTAATTATCAAAAACCGTTTTATCTGGTTGTTTCGGAAGAGATAATATGATATATATTTACATTCTACTTCTTATTAGGTTGCTTTTGGTCAACATTTCTTCCAACAGTTTTTTGTGGTTTGTTTCACAGCTTGCAATGCTATGAAGACGTGTTAAAACTATTCACGAGAAAAGTGCATTTTCCATCACATGCTGATAACACATCTTGTAAACATGCCAAATATGGAGTGGATATACAGTGTATACATGCTAATAAGGATATGCTTCTTGCATTTTTATTTTGTTTTTGCATACTGTGAGGAATGCAGTTCTCTATCCTTGTATTTTTGGAAAAGACCATAGTCATTGGATAAGATAACAGGGTTATTCACTAAAATGAGAAATGTCAGGAATTCAAAGTGAATTTCAAATTTAAAGCCAATATAGCTGTACTGAAAAAAGTCAGCTATGCTCCACTTCAACTACTTTGCGCTAATGTTGAAAATTCACTTTGAATTCACTACAATTCTTAGATTTTTCAGTGTTGGTATTGAAAAATATAGATTTTGTTAAAGACAGGAGGCTCCTATAATGCATTAACTATTTTTACTATTCTACACAGCAGCATAGAATACAAATTTAAAATGAAATAAAATAAAATATTAAGGTGCAACCAAATGTGGATAAAACAGGTAGTTAGTTAACATGCTGCCCACAATATATAAGACCCAATCAGGTACCCCAAGTCCTCTTTTAAGCTAGGAGACATCCTGAAAAATGGTACTAACAATATCAGTCTGTAGAAACTAACAGGTAATTGGAGCCAAAAAAATTAAATGTCATAACTGAAGAAAATGAATCCACAATCTGGTACTGAACGCTGAATAAAAAAGAATAGGAAGCGATGGGAGGTTTAATTTGGGAGGGATAACATTTACCTCCTCTCTTCAATAAATTCTATATTTTCCTACATGAAGACCAGGGAACATCTAAGAATTTTATTACAGATACAAGGCTCCTGTTATGCAAGTTAAAAGCTACATACATTTCTAAAAAATGAAACAATACTAAGGCAAAACTACCATGTAAACAGATAGGGCACAAGTAAAATGTTCTGAAGGTGGAGTCTGAAAACATATCACCTGCCTTAAAAATGTCAGAAAGGGAGCCCCACGTTGAAAAAACCTTAGTAGACCAATCCCTATTCTGGAGTATAAGCCACATTTATTAACATCAACACCTGCCATGAACAAGTCCTATTGTGGAGTATAGGCCACATTTAGTAACATCAACACCTGCCATGGACAAGTGCCACAGACCCATCTAGAAAAAGTAAGTGAGGAGACTGGCACATAGGGTTTACAGTAAGAAATTAACAATTGAACTTTGTAAGAATGTCTAAGAGATGCTGTTTTCATTTTACAACATCGTAAATATTATCCCACACATAGATAAGGTTGGTTAGAGGTATAGGATAAAACATTAATTTACTTTTGGTTTTTGTACATCTGTCAATTTGAAATTGAATCCTGTGAGGTGTGAATTGTTGTTGTGAAATATCTAAGGCTTGCACATCTGAAACTCTTTTAAAGGAAATTAGACAAAGAAATGTGGTCAATTTAAAAAAACAAAACTTACGAAACAAAGAGTCATTAAATTAACATTCCAAGTCTCAGTGTATCTCAGGTTAGGAGGTCTTTGAATGTATGCCTTTCAACAGTTTACAAATTAGAGGATGCTTACCAAAACACTGTCAATAGGGGTAAGACCCAACAAAATACCTGATTGATAAAGATTAATAGTTTGATAAGCCATCCTTAACTCGAATGACATGGAAATCAATTTTAACACATGGAAAATGGGGGGCATGAAGCAAATCCAGCTCCAAGCATTAGAGAAAACAATACTGCCAGGCTGATCTCTAATTAGCCTTGGTGCTCATCCGTTAAGAGCTCTGTAGTTGTATCTGAAATTTTGCAATTGAGTCAGAGAAAACTAAATATGCAACCCATTGCAGTGGGTTGGATAGGATTAAGGGATGTAGATACCTGTCGGGATCCACCAAAATTAGACTGACTAGAGAGAGAAAATTCCCATCATTCCTACACAGGATTGTGTTAGTCACCAAGGAACAATTAGGAAAACAGTTGCTTTTCTTCTGAAAATCTGACTTAATACCCATGGAATGTATACAAGCAGAGGGAATGCATGATAGATCCCCTGGGACCAATCTTGCCAGTAAGAGTCTAAAGCAGAAGCCTCTGGGTATAAACGGAAGATAAAAAAACTGCAGCAGCCTATGATTTAGACATTAAGCAAAAATGTTGATGTGAAAGGGAACTCTAAGAGATCATGAAAGATATGGAAATTCAGTTTCTAATCACTGAACTCTGTTAGAAACCTAGAATTCCAGTCTGCAACTGTGTTGGACAAACCCAGAAGATATTCCGCTTTCAGAGTAATATCACAATTTCGTCATAGACTTACCTACAGCTGGAGCCTGTGCCGCTACCCTCTTCGGTCTGCACAGACAGAATGCACTGCGTTGCTGCACAGGTCATGTCCTCAGGCTGGGCAGCCCGAATGTTCCACATGGCTGCACGACCTGACTAGGCAAATAAAATTACCTTCGGTCCCGTGAACAGCTCCCTCTGCTTGTTCGCGGGCTTAGCTACAGGCCCCATGCAAATATGTTAGGACGCTGCCCGATCTAAGGGCACTTCCTTAAATACATTTTAAAAATATGATGTCACACTCGTAAAGGAATCATGTCATCTAGGCGACCCCCTGCTGTTTTGTAGTCGCAAAAATTACATGGACCAATAAGAGCACATATGAACCTATTCAAAGTCGGTTCAGGATTTTACTCATTACCCTACTGTAGTTTCTGTCCAGTTACACAATTAGTGCTCCTGTGACTCTCTTGTGATTTCCTGTTATTGACCTTGGCTTCGTTTTGACTATGCTAGGCTTGTTGGGGAAACATTATCATCACAGCAGAACAGGACCTGAAATTGGGATTGTAATTGGGATTGTCCTGCTAAAACTGAGCCATTTGGAAGGCCTGCTGCTCCTCTTAGGCATAGGTCTGTGTGAGTGTCCTGCTGAAATCTGGATTTAGGGAGCTTGTGTCATTTTGTCAAAAACTTCCTTATTATTGAAACCACAATAGAGTCGGGATGCTTTGGATGCCATAATTATGAACCTGTAAGTTGAAGTGGTTATGCTGCTCAAAATGTCACTTTAGTTTGTGCAAACTACTTCATATAGACTATCTCTGCAACCTGATTAAAGTCTCATGTTGATTTTTCTTTTCTTTTCCCTTGCAGAGGTTGATGATCGAGATTATGTTGAAGTATTGCCTTCTTAGATTTTTTATGTAATTGCTCATATACCATGAAAGCGAGGAAAAGAAGTAGACAAAAAAGGAGAAAGAAACCATTTACAGTACTTATGTCTTGATGACCTATAATGAACCATTAAAAGGACTGTGGCTAATGGCTACCTCTATCTGGATGGAATATGAACTGGAACGGAATCTTCTGAACAGTGGAAACACTCCTGACCCACCTGACTTTTTATATACAAATGTGTATAATGTAAAGAGCAATTTTCTACACATACAATGCATAGTTTTATAGATCTGCACTGTCTTAACTAAAATAACATGTTTTAGTATCAATAAAGTTTATTAAGCACAAATAATGTTTACGAGGTCCCATATGTACAGCAGTGGGCAAGAGCTGTTTTCAGATTTTTCCATATATTGTATCTTTTATTCTAGATCTGGAGGCATCAAATGTTTTTTTGTTTTTTTTTTAAATCTCAACTATTTGCCCACTGACAGCCCTAGCAGTCAGCGGGAAAATAGTTAAATTACAATTTAAAAAAAGTAATAAATAAATAGCCTATGGGGTCAGAAAGATCCTCGTATTACTATAAGAAACGTTCAAATCCTCCTATTGATGGCTTGTATACTAAATGTTTAAAACTAGCGACTGGGCTACAAAAGGTCCCATGCCCATGGGAAATAATCGGTCGTGGGAGACATAATACCCTACTGTGGGGGACTTTTAAATACATATTGGTTGGTTGACAGACTACAGCTCACCTCCTTGTCCCCACTTTTTTTTTTTTTTTTTTAAAGGGGAAACATTTTTTAAGTCCCGACCCAAAGTTAGTGGGTGATTATAATATTAAGGAGAGGGGGGTACCTTGTGTGGGTGGTGCCCTAATTAATTAAACAATAGGGGGAGGTAGACATATCATTGTCCAGCCCACTTCATATATTGGTATGCCTTGGCTGTCACAGAGTTCTAACTGGCTGGCTTATTCTGGGATTGAAGATAAGATTTTTGGTGGTGAGTATATATATATATTTTTACAGTTATTCATTTAATTACCCCCCTCACTATTAGAGTGGGGGGATAGGTAGGGACTTTATTTTTAATGTGGGTAGTTTTTTATGGGAGCTAGCTGCCACATATTTAACCCTCGCATTATCACGGGTCCCCAGGCCAGTGGCGTACCTACCACGGTCGCAGCTGGGACTGGGACCCTCACTGCAGGGGGCCCGGCCGGAGCCACAACCCCTGCCGCCCCCTCCATGTTCCTCCTGTCATAGGGGGGCCCAACAGGTGGCACGCTGTCCACTTAATGGACCCCCCAGCGGGCGGTAGAGTTCCTGTCAGACGCGGCAAGGGAGCTGTGTTCTCTGCTCTGCTCAGTAGTCAGCCCGCAAGGATGCAGAGCAGAGAGAACACAGCTCCTTCGCCGCATCTGACAGGAACTCTGCTGCACGCCACATTGAAGCCCCACTGGACCCCAGGGACAGATCCACACCAGCTCTCTAGGTAGTGAGGCTGGGTGGACATTTAATATTAATAATTTGTGTGTGTTTGTAAGTATGTGTGTGTCTGAATGTGTATGTGTGTGTCTGTATGTGTATGTCTCTGTAAGTGTATGTGTGTCTGAGTGTGTGTGTGTGTCTGTAAGTGTGTGTCTCAGTGTGTGTATGTGTGTGTATGTCTGTGAGTGTGTGTGTGTCTGTAAGTGTATATGTCTGTCAGTGTGTGTCTACGAGTGTGTGTGTCTGTAAGTATGTGTCTGTAAGTGCATGTGTGTCTTTGTGTCTGTGAGTGTATGTGTCTGTGAGTGTACGTGTGTATATGTCTGAGTGTGTGTATATGAGTGTATGTGTGAGTGTCTCTACATGTGTCTGTATGTATGGGTCTCTGTGTGCATGTGTGTGTGTGTCTGTATGTATTTGCATGTGTATCTGTTTGTCTGCATGTGTGGGTGGGGTGGGGACATGTGGGGTAGGAGGTAGATGTATGGGGGGGCCACGGGGAAATTTTCGGGGGGCACCGGGGCCCTGTGGTTTCTAGTTAAATATGTAAATAATTTGTTTTCATTTTTCAATTTTTTTATTTTCATTTTAAAGAATTACAGGTAATAGGATAAGCATGTTTACAGAGACACATATAATTTTGACATTTTTATGAAAACGCAAATAAAGAGTTGCCCTGTAGCACGTATAATGCATGTTCGGCAGGATTCTTCATTGCCTAATTTCTTAACCTTATATATCTTCTTCTGAATTCTACATCCTACAAGGGCAACCCTTTTCATGTGCTGCCCATTAACATGTATATGTGATTAATGTCCCTGAAAACATTGTGGGCCTGGTGTCACCCTGATATATATTAAATAAATTGACATACATGTGTGAAAAGTATAACAATGTAACTGGATCCAGAATACACAAGCACCAAACTTTGCTATTAAATTTTGACAATGTCAAGTAAAGGATTAATTGTATACATTTTGTTTTCATTAAAAAATGGGTTAAATAAAGCAAGTCTGAATCTTGAGTATGCTCTGCCTGTGAACAATGTAGCTATGTCAAAAACAAAAAGCAAAGAAGAAAAAAGAAAGAGGAAAAGGTGGGATGGGATGGGGATGGCATACCTCTACTGTTAGCTATGTGGAGATTTTGATGGTAAGCATTATAGTAATCGTCCCTGGAGTTTGCATGAGGGAGGAGTTTAGGGATCGAGAAAATTGGAAGTGTACACAATATTAAAGGGATACTGTAGGTATACAGACCACTTCAGCTAACTGAAGTGGTCTGGGTGCAGTGTGCCTTTTGCACTCAGTGCTGCAATTTAAAACATTGCAGTTCTATAGAAACTGCAATGTTTACATTGCAGCTCTAAGTCTACCCTCAGTGGCTATCTACCAGACAGCCACTAGAGGGCTTCCTGAGTTAAAACAGACCTTTGGTCTGGTATCTGACGCTGGACGTCCTAACGCTCTGTGTGAGGACCTCCAATGTCAGATTTTGCCCTATAGGGAAGCATTGATTCAATGCTTTCCTATGGGAGGTCTAATATGTGAGCAGCATTTGCCATGACTGAGCATTAGACCCCGCTCGTCACGGGACGGAGCGACAACCCAATGCCATGGGACATCAGAAAAGGTAGGTAAATACTATGAATAGAAAAGAATATGATGAAGTGCCTGGAATCACAACCAGAAATAAGAGTAATTAGGAGGAGAAAGAGTAAGAGAAAGTCAAGAAGAGTGAGAGTTTGAGATGACACTTTTCATTTAACCATCTTATCACAAAATTAGGTCAAATTAGTAATTTATTTCAGATGATATGTATCCCACTACTGCAAACACCTAATATTTGTATTCTGCTACTGTTTTAAAGTACAATGATACCCCCCTTAACCCCTTAATCATAACCAATAACCCAACCTATATTCCTACCCATAATCTAACCCCTAATTCAACCTCTAATTCTACCCATAATCCCACCATCTAATCCCATGGATTTCAGTACTGACATCAGCCAAGGGATTTCCTAGCTCACACAATATAGAGTGCTCTGTGAGCTCCCTCTCATGCTGCAACTCTTTCACACAGTGATTGGTGATTCAGGAGCATTGGGCAAGCAGGGAGTCCTCACCAGGGTCGTTTCAGATCCTGATGCTCTCCCTGACACTGGAAGGGGAACATAATATGGTGATGGTGGGGCACTATCATTTTTTAATTTACAGCAGCTGCTCAATGGCTGTCACAGTATTTAAATGGCTATGAGCAGTGCTCACTTCTCTGTCAAGCATTGTCTTGATAGAGTGTGTAAGTTGCTGCACATGTGCCCTATGTCCCCAGTGCTTCTCCATAAGTAGCATTGGATTAGACAGGCTTTATCACGATTGATCATCTCCCATAAGGTAGATCGGCTGAACATTGAAAATTAACCGGGTACTGGACTATTGGTAAATTTAGTTGCTGTGCATCTAAACATTAAGAAAGCAGCAAACTTTAAAAAATTCGTATTCCTTAACCCCTTCCCAACAACCGACGAATCATGTACGTCCGTGGCTATTTTGAGTGCTGGAAGCAATCGCGTTTGCTTCCAGCTGCTCTGATAGTATTGCAGCGATGCCTCAATGCCATCGTGCAATACCTCTCATTTCTGCCGGGTACCCAGAGAGCACCGGGTGATCGTTCCCCCCTGCAGTACAGCAGAGCATCGGAAACCACGGGGCAGGCTTCCAATGCTCTGCATTTCTAGATTGCCTTGAGGAGTTGAGGCCCTCAGTGAAGAAAAAATAAATAAACTAAAATAAGTCCTATTAACCCCCGTATGCCCCCAGCCATGTGGCTCCCAAGATGAAGTTACCTTTCTAAATCAAAGCTTGCCCCTATAAGAATTTTATTCTAACTATGATCCCCATTTGTCTGATTAGGTAGATTGCAGTAGCCCCATCTGCTCTACCCCCATTTACTCCCAGTGTATGTCGAGGAAGCAGTACGAAATTTCATGCACTTCAGCGACAACAGCCTGTGCCCCCCTAGGGAGCATCACCAGTTTGACAGGCTGTGTAAAATCCACTTCCCTGCCAGGTTTGGTTGAATCCCTGATGAAGTATAAGGGAAGGCTGGGATTCAAGCAGTGTATTCCTTCCAAGGGCTCCGGGTATGGTGTAAAGGTGTAAAAGCTCTGTGATAGCGAGACTGGGTATACTCCGGCCGTCAGGGTGTACTGTTTTTATACAGTAGCTTGCAGTACAATAAAAAAAACGTGCAGGTTTCCCAGGACAACTTGCACGCACCCGGCTACATAGGGGGGAAACCTCAGCTCTGCGCCAAGAGGAGCTGTTGGCAGTTAAGTACAGAGACAAGAAGGATGTGTACCTTCTTACCACCATCCACACTAAGAGGACTGTGGAGGTCTCTGTACGTGGCAGAGCTCAGAGCACAAAGAAACCAGTGTGCATCAAGGCTTATAACCAGAATATGGGTGGGGTAGATCTGGCAGATCAGCTGCTGCAGCTCTATCTAATTATACGCAAGACAAGGGCCGGGTACAAAAAGGTTACAATTTATTTAATGCATATTGCAACCCACAACGCTTTTTTTGTTGTTCAAAAATGCAAACCCCCGGAATGCAGCTGACTTTTTTACAGTTTCAGCTCCAGATCATTTCGGGGATCATCCCTGGGCGGTGATGGGAGAAAGCAGAGCTGGGGTTACACATTTTATTTTTAAAATCCCTACTGTGGCAAAGCAGAATCCCCAAAAAAGATGCAGAGTCTGTTTAAAGAGGGGCATAGAAAGGACACCGTATATC